CAACTGGAATGTTAATGATGCATAACCACGAATAATAATAATAATAATAATAATAATAATATATGAAATAGACACACGGAACACAACCGAGTCACATATTTGTGTAATACAAGAATGAACAAAGTGAGAATAGAAGGAGATAGATGATAAAGGAAACAAACAAACAAAACATTACGATTCAATTCTATTGAATAATTGTATTTGTTCCCATAATATTCATTTACTATCAAGAATTTGTGTCAAATTTTCTTGTTAAAATGACATCAATTAATTGATTTTAGAAAATTTTATTCATTCAGATTAACAGTATTGGTAATTCAACTTAATTACAGTGCTCTTAAGTCTACTTTACACTAATTGTTTAAAAGTTGTTAAGATAAATTTATAAAGTGATTAACCAGATTAAAGAACAAGAATTTCTCACTTAAGGAGGTGACTAGTAAAAGGTAGATTTATCACTTTAGGAAAACATTTTCAGTTCGTTAAAATTACTGATGAACTGTGATAAGATTGGACAATTGTAAAATCTCAGCTGACTAGTTTGAATAATTCATAACTTCATTATTGTGTTAACAACATAAGTCAGAATGATGAATTTCATTCAGTTGATGATAGTTTGCCTCACATACCGGAAAAATGTTGCGAATAACGAAATAACAGTTTATGGTTTTGTTAACTGCTAGAACTTTCAACGGTGTATATGTTAAGAATGATTAAGAAACTTTTGGGTATAAAATTAAACTACGAGTAAGAACAGTTGGGTAGCTTCATGATGATACCAATGAGCTACACGTGTTTCACTTCTTCAATGGTTCTAAAGATAACATCACTTCAGGATAAATTTATATTTAATGCAAATTAATTCAATTTTCAGTTTTCTCATTCTTCGGTCAGACATAAACAATGTAGCAGCTATCATAGTTCCATGTCAGTTCACATTGCTACTTCATATCAGGACAGTTGAGTAAAACGCTGAGAAAGCTATGAAATGTATTGCCGAATTTTAATGAAAGTAAATCAGTCTTAATTTAAGGTCTACTTTTTATATTTAATTGTAAATTAGTGAACAAATATTTACTTGTCACAATCAATCAACTACTTGTTACTCAGAAAAGAAGTTTAGCTTTGTAATTCGTTTGTCAATTACATCAAGTCAAATAAATCAATAAATTAACCGTTGAATTAAATCGACAGAACTTCTATCCTCATTTTATTCATCAAACCTCGTTTATTTAAATTAATTTTGAACCATGATTCTTTATGAGGAACAGTATAAGTAAACGTTATGATTTTTATCATTATAAGTTACTGTCAATCACGTAGAATAAAATAATACCAGTCTGTTCCATAGATACGGTTTTCCAATTGGTACCAAGTAATGCTTTCTCTACGACTTCTATACGTTAAATTTATAAAAACTTGTATTGATTAATTACTAATGATAGAAAAATTGAAATATTTTTAACTTTCAAATCCCTTAAAAGTTTAATCGAGTGACTTGAATGACTGAAATTGCTTAAAATACTCTATATAGTGTATACAATCTAATTTTCTTATTTATTATGATTGTTCTAATATCTATCTATGCTAGTGAGCGGCCTATGCTCATTTACGAGGAGTAACAGGCGTAACTTCTCCTCCTGAATATCTATAATTATTTTAATGGAAAGCTGTTGTTTTTCTTCTTTTGTTCCTGTCTATAAATCCATCATCATTATCATTGATAAAATAAAATATTATCAACTGACAGGTAAACTTGTACTTATGTACTTGTGTAACCCTTTTAAAAGAAAGCTATAAACAAGCTTACAAATTTAATCAAAATAATAAATCAAATTATGACATCACAATACATTGAATAGAATTTTTATTAAAATACTTTTATCTATGTTAATTACTCTGATAAAATGGGGTTTTTTTTTCGATTTATTTACAGAATGTTTTAATTCAAACAATTAGCATAAATGAAGAAATGATGAAACATTGAACTCTTTCACACTTCTATAAAATATATTACGGTTATCAAGTTTGATAAAGACTGGTTGGAGTTTTAATTGGTATACCTTAGAAACCGATATGTTATTGTCTAAATGAAGACGTAAAAAACATTCTTCTTATCCTTAGTTATCTGAAACTGGAAAAATGTTTGTATTTATTGTTAGTAGGAGATAATGAGATTGAATAGGTCATTTTCTTATTTTAACAGTATTTAAAATATCTAAACAACTAACTGAAATTAATCTTCAAGTAGATACTCTATCTTAAAAGGCAAACATTATTTACTGTCTATCAATATTAGACCATATCTTATCGTTTTATTATACAATGGTTTATATGGTCAATAACAATTCATTATATTCGTTAGAACGCAATGAAATATAATGAAGCTTTAATAACATCGTCCTCTCTCTGAGTAAATATGAATGGTTAACGTATTACATTTATCGAAACAAGAAAAATTGAAATCTATTAATTGTGTAGCACTCAAATCTATATCATATTCGATCACTTGTGTGTGTGTGTGATACCTTTGAAGAAGCCTATTTTGAAAGCCTTAAATAGAACCCAAAATTTTGTCACAACTCATACTTAACAAAACTAGTTTATAATTTTAACTCTTTTTAATAAAAGTATTGTGATTAACTCATTATATTCTTTTAGATGACTATACTCGTACTTTATGCTGGTAATAGATATTCTACATAAATTTTTTATTGTGAATTTTCGTTTTTAAAAAAAAACTAGTATTAGCATTATAGTCGTTTTCAAGTGTCAATTTCTTCAATAGTTAAGATTAAATCTTTTGAATTAGATGATGGTTAGAGGTAGTCAACAGGAAACACTGAACCCGGGGTTCGTGCTACTTGGTACTCGTCAGCAAGGTGTACCTGTAATTATGAGGGAACTGGTACTCCTTGAGGGATTCGATCCCGTGCCACCCAGTTTTACAGTCAGAGACGTTACCACTAGGCTATCTGGGCTGCGAGTGACCCCCTGTAGGACTGAGATATAATCACAATTGATTGATCACTGGGTGGTGATCAATGTCATGTTTGTCAAATCTTTCTTAGTGGAGATCGAATGCTGTCGACCAAGAGTAGTGGCCACATTGCAACTTGGTCGATAGCATTCGATCTGCACTAAGAAGAACATGACACACATGACACTGATTACCACCCAGTGATCAATCAACTATAATCTTTTGAATGTTTGTTAGAATCATGAAAAGAAAGGAAATGGTTATGTGATTTATTTTACACCATTGATTCACGTAATTGATGTAATTTATTTAATTATTTTGATATGAAAGTATTTTCTTCCATTATGAATTAGGTTTTAATTGTATTTTATTATATTAATATATGAAGTATGCAAATGATGTTCTTAATTTAACATTATATTTACAGTTAAATCAGTAAAACTAATAAGTTACTAATCATTTTCATCTATGGATTTGATAAATAGATCGATTAGAGCTACATTGTTTTTTTTCCTTTTCCAGTAATTTAAGATCAATTATCTGTTCTCTGTGTTATTTGGGATATAACGATTTAAAAATGATAATGAATGTTAAGATTTCTGTTAAGGTGTAACGGTAATCATATTGAAGTATAAACATTACATGATTAAGAAAGTGTGAGTGTCCAGCTACAGCTGAGATGGATTGTAAATGCGATAGTCTGAAGGTATGAATACATTCTTTTCTATGTAAACGTGTTAGATTTTCCTGTTTATTTATTCAGTGATTATGTTAATAAGCACTAGATATTGAGCGTATATTTTATACTTATTTTAAAATTGCTATATGAAAGCTATTAATTTGATCGTTTTCGTAATCAGGAAACAAGTCAAACTTGTTATATTAAATGTATTGTTCATATGTTCACTATAAGCATCCAAATACCTTAGGTTGATCTGTAACTTATCTTGGTTGGGGGTGGAAATAATTTAGTTTTTAAGTGTTTGGATTATCCAAAAGGGTTGCCATTTTCGACTGAGTTTAGATCAGTCTAAGTTGGTATATGTGGATCTTGTACGGATTATTTCTTACAAGCTTAAATAAGAGAGATGGATTGTGATTAAAACTTAAGGAGAAAAGTATTGGCTTCGTATCACGGTGGGAACAACAACACTGGGATCCGGGTATATCAAATCAACCAGTCTCAAGTAGAGCAAAACGCTTGCCATGTATTCTACTGCTAGCCGCAAACCACTTCTTCTATAAAAGGAGATGAAAGTAGTTAAAGGCACTAGTTCAAAATATCAAACTGCACATATCCTTTTTTCTAGGATTTTAGATGATAGCAACAATTATCTGCTGTTTGCTATTTTATCATTCAATGTGTCTTCATTTTAATTACTGAACTTTGGGTGAAACGTTTAGGAAAACTGTTTCATAACTAACCTGTCACAAGATTTCAGTGGTAAATGGATCCATTACTTAATAAAGTACTTCTTGTGCTTTTTCATCTTGTTTGTTGGCTACATAGGATTTCTTACTTATTAGAGTTCTCAGTATATTTGCAATCCCTAGTTAAATGTTATATGGTACATACGTATTATGTTTTAGTTTAAGTTATATTATTTCTTTACATTTCCAATCAAGCAAATCTTTGTAAAAGAATCCTATTTTTCTCTAGCTGTTACAAATAATTAACATATTACTACAAACTAGTTTAAAATGATCAAAATTTTGAAGCTAGATTGGGCTTTATTAGATTTACAGATGTCTCGTCTATAAGTGACAAAGCGCACCATAATATTTGGTTTGTGCTACCATAAATGAACTACTGTACATTAATAAATCAATTATGGTAATAGGTACGCCTCAAACCAATTGATCGAGTGTTATGTGAACAATGGCTCCATAAAGCAGACTAATTAATTGGTGAGGAAATTTCGTGTTGTGAGACTATCATATACTAATTATATGAACCGGAATAACTTATTTAAAACCTGAAATCTTTAAATACAGAAGAATAATCAAAAATAAAACTTACGTTTCACAAATATTGTGATACTTGTTTGGTGAGCCGAACCCACAGGATGTCCAGTTTCACAAATCAGTTTAGCAGCATGATACTTCCGAGTAACTCGTTGAATGATCAGTGTATTTACTAATTGATCTTTCTCTTTAGTAAGTGTGTAATGCAGTGGTTGTACATCTTCGGAAATAAAATCTCCCTGCTGCAATTGAGATAGTTCTGGCATAGCGATTTTCTGCGATAAACTACCACCACTATTGCTACTGTCTAAACTTCGTAGATAGGCTTCAACAGATGTGTAATCACTGAGTCTAGCACCGCCCTACCCCCAATTCCACTGATTTTCTGAATATTGCTGTCATCAACTTGACTTGTTCTTATTAACCATCTCCAGAATAGTCCACCTAAAGGTTTGCCAGGTGGTGAGGAAACACATACTGCACGTAACTGTTCACCATCTAAATAAACATGGTTTGTTTCAGGACTGACGATTTTCGGAGGACCGGGAGGAGCTGCAAAAGTAATATAAAAACACATTTATGATAAATAAATTTGGTTTCTTGACTTTTTCACAACTCTGAGCAGAATGAACATAAAAGCACGGATTCACTTTCAAAGTATAAATAAATAACCCCGAGCTATGTAGAATACTACTTCAAAGAGGTTGAATAATCACGAATACAAAATGCGGTATGAATCATTAGAATGAATAATAATGGGTGATGAAATCAATTATTTTTTTAAGGAGAAATCTACAGTCAAAATTTAAAGGGATAAATAACCACTTTTCAAATTTGTTTGTTGATTTTGGTGGGAAGAAAAACATAATCAGACAAATAAATAAGTAAAGTGTAGTAACCATGACTATATATATATATATATATATATATATATATATATATATATATATATATGCACCTTGAGCCGGCAAGATTGAAGTTGTTTGTTCTTGATGGCAAGTGCAATGAAGTATGTTAATTATGAATACATTGAAAAAAGTTGCTGAAAATACTCAATTACGTATATAATGTGTAAGGAATAAAGAAAATATTTTCATTTAACTGTTTATTATCTCCTAAAAAACGGTTTTTCTAAATTATTTATCAACCAAAATGGTTATTTATATAGTTAAGATAGACAGATATAAATAACAAAAGTTAGAGGTCAATCATATATATATATATATATATATATATATATATATATATATATATATATATATATATATATATAGAGAGAGAGAGAGAGAGAGAGAGAGAGAGAGAGAGTGTGTGTGTGTCAGAGACTGAATATATGCTTTGAGATCTCAAGTGTTTAAACTATGCTTATTTATTATGATAAAATGAAAAGAAGTTAATTATCATTATGCTAGTTGAAACTTTTATATATATTTCTTACATATACTATAAGCTAATATCAGATACTACTTATGACCTTCACAAGATTAATGTCTAGTATCATTTTATAATAATCACTCCTTGTTTCAACTAGTACACTATTAAAACAATAAAACCTCTGACTCTTAATAACTCGTTATTAAATAGTATCTAAATGGAGAATGAACTTGATATAAATTTAAATGAATTAATCACTGTAATGTTTCATAAGAGTTAACGATTGTTTTGTAAATTTAAAAATAGACAGTCGTAGAGAATGAAACAATCATTCATTATCAGGTTTATCCTATAGATTGTTTGCATATACTGGTGATTCCTTTTTTATTTATAAATTGAAAACTGTGTGAAATAAAACTTAAAATTTATTATTCTGAAATTAAAATCGGCTCTTTTGACTATTGTAAAGTAAATACCAGTAAGTTTTTATTTTTACTAATATCTAAATTCCAATAGTTGAAATCCTGAGTCAATTGAAGCTAGACCGTCATGGAAAATCTCGAAGCACTGAACGGCCGATTCGTCTTATTGTGGGACTCTTCAGCAGTGCGAGACCAGGTCTGTTGTGAGATATCAGCTCACTGAAGATAATGGTGTACGGTGGCGCACTTTCGTGGTTTGGTGGAAGTTCGACGTGAAAATCGTTGGATGCCGGCTCAGTGGTTAAGTGCTCGCGCGTGAGATTGATTGATCCTGGGTTTGGATCTCGTGCAGGGGGCGGGATAGTGGATGCGCACTGCTGAGGAGTCTCATGCTAGGACGAAACGGCCGTCCAGTGCTTCCAGTTTTTCCATGGTCGTTTAGCTTCAATTGACTCATGATTTCAACTATTGAAATTTGTAAAATCTCTGCGAAACTCCTTCTGATAATATCTAAATGACAACTAACGTTGTCTTATATAGTAGGATTTGGTTATGGAGTTTATAGAAACTTTCCTGTAATCAATTTCGACTATGGTTGATTTTGTTAAACCTTTTTCATTAACTTACGTAACAGATAATGTTATTTGAACAGTAACAGTTTGTATATATCTTTGTACTATTATGATTACTGTCATATCTGTATAGACGTGTACGGTTTATCACATGACAGATTACGTACATATCTCTCTCTAGCTAAAATGTTGATAGATTAAATATCACTCGATGTGATTGTAGATTTGTTATCCATTCTATCCGGTAATAAACTGTAGTCATCGTTTCATATTGCCTTCTAATTTCAAACACCGTTGAGATTTATATAACAACGGTTATCAAGGTGATTGATCAATGAAACTAAACCAGTGCAAGTGCAAGTTCTGGTAGCTTGTTTTCACCACTAAACAAAATATAATGCTGATGCTGCGAATAATGGTGTCTCGTTTCACTTCAACATATAATACCTGTTAGGACAATCAGGAGATCGGTTCTTTAATTTGATTGTAAGACTTCAATAAAAATCTCATATCAACTAGTCGGAGAATTTATAGTAGCTGTTAAAAATCAATTGTCATTTAATCATAAGTTATATGAACCTGAAGACAAAATTGTGTGCCAATACAAAATTCCGTGATAAACACAGTTCGTGTATACAGTGAGAAAACTATATACGAACTCTAGTGAATATGTTAGGTTTTTACCGTCATCTGATATAAGAAAAAATATTTTAGTATTAAGCTTGTTTTTTTGCATTAAACTTATTTCAATCAGTAAGTGAGCTGTATTGTAGTTTTAATGTACATTAAACCAACTAGTTTTATTCATCTTGAATTAGAAGGGAATGGATAGCAACGAAATATTTTTAATTTGGATCATAAAACTTACAAATAAAAAAATATCTATTCATCTTAGTATAGAATGACTAGATTTTAGACTGTATAAATATACAGACACCTTATTTTTAGGTTGATGGGAACAAGGTTTCAATGAACTGATTGTTTGAAAAATATTATAAATGTATGCAACCAATCTGAAGGTGGTAGCTCCCGCTATCTATAACATTATTAAATGATAAGAACTAATCTTTGATTTTTATTATTACACTGCCAATATATAAAAATATCTATCCACTTAATTGGCTTATCTTTGAGTTAACTTTATTTCATACCAAAATCATGTTTCATGTTCCAGACAATTTTCGTAGATATGCACTAGCAGTATATGGATGAAGGGAAGTATATCAGGTACAAGAATTGGTTTAATATTTATTAGTTATCTTTGAGCACTAGACAAACACACGTAAAAAAATGAAACAATAACTGAACTGTTGCTTGTCTAAAATGAAATATATATATATATATATATATATATATATATATATATATATATATATATATATGTTTAGTGAAAGGCGACAAGATAGACTGAAAATGTAAAACTCCATAGTAATGCTCAGATAATGTAGTGTATCAACAATAATATGTTATTTTTTACTTCTAAATGTAAAACGCTATGACAGTCTTCGTCTACTAGTCTATTCATATCGTTACATTGCATTTTGAGACTGATACAAAACAATTGTTTTGTGATTTTTGTTAGATGCATACTCTAATACGTGGTATTAATCATACTTTTATACTTAAAATACCATCATTGATTATGGAAAACAAAGCAGTGATACAAATCACATCAATATCAATGTTTAATTATTTAGACAGGGACATAGTTGATTTTCCTTACATTCTCAATAACTGAATCATTGGTGATGAAAAATTAAAAAATGGTTCAAGTATACTGATTTTGAGATTATAAAAAGCTCGTTCTTGTATGCACATTCTAAAAATGATATATTATTGAAGCAAAATAGGGAATAACTGAGCTAGAAGTTACTTATTTCAATATTACATACCTACTCTTCGTGAAGGAGCATAGGTCTTTCACCAGCACTCTCCATCCAACCCTGTTCTGGGCAATCCGTTACAGCTCCTTTCAGTTGTTATTTATCATTTTTATATCTGCTTCTATTTCCCGACGTAATGTGTTCTTTGGCCTTCCTCTTTTCCGCTTCCCTTCAAGACTCCAAGTTAGGGCTTGCCTCGTGATGCAGTTTGGTGATTTGCGTAATGTATGTCCTGTCCATTTTCATCGTCTTTTTCTAATTTCTTCTTCAGATGGGAGCTGGTTTGTTCTCTCGCACAGAAGGCTGCTGCTGATGGTTACTAGCCAATGGATGTTGAGTATCTTGCGTAGACAGCTATTTATAAATACTTGTACTTCCTTGATGATGATTATAGTAGTTCTCCAAGTTTCAGCTCCGTACAGTAGAACTGCCTTGATATTCGTGTTGAAGATTCTCACTTTGATATTGGTTGAAATTTGTTATGAGTTCCATATGTTCTTCAATTGTAGGAATGCGGCCCTTGCTTTGCCGATCCTCATCTTTACATCTACATCTGATCCTACTTGGTCACCAATGATGCTTCTCAGGTACGTGAAGGATTCTACATCTTCCAGAGTTTCGCCATCAAGAGTGATTGGATTGCTGTTCTCCGTGTTGTATTTGGGGATCTTGGTTTTCTTCTTGTGTATGTTGAGGCATACTGATGCAGAGACTGCTGCTACATTGGCTGTCTTCATCTGCATCTGTTCGTGTGTACGTGATAGGAAGGCCAAGTCATCTGCGAAGTCCAAATCGTCTAATTGATTCTGAGCTGTCGATTGTATGCCATGTTTTCCCTCAGATGTCGAGGTTTTCATAATCCAGTCGACCACCGGGAGGAAGAAGAAGGGGGAGGGTATGAAGCCTTGTCTGACTCCAGTCCTTACTTGGAATGCGTCTGTCAGCTGTCCTCCATGCACGATTTTGCACTGTAGTCTGTCGTATGAGTTCCGGATAATATTGAAAATCTTAATCAGGAACTCGATAGTGTCGAATACATTTCCACGACTTTCTCCTATCTACAGTGTCAAATACCTTTTCACAATCAATGAAGTTGATGTATAGTGACGAGTTTCACTCAATTGATTGTTCGACGATGATCCGTAGTGTCCCAATTTGGTCTGTGCACGACCGATCCTTACGGAATCCAGCTTGTTGATCTCGAAGTCGGGCGTCTACTGCGTCTTTCATCCGATCCAGCAACACACTGTCGAAGGCTTTCCCTGGTACTGACAGTAATGTGATGCCTCTGTACTTTCCACATTTGCCCACATCTCCTTCTTTGGAATCTTAATGAGGTGTTCTTCTTTCTACTCCATCGGCACTTGTTCCTTCTCCCAAATCTTCTGGAATAGAAGGTAAAGCATGTTTGTAGTTACTTCGATGTCTGGCTTTAGAGCTATAGCTGGTATATTGTCAGGTCCTGCTGCTTTTCCGCTCTTGATCTGTCTGATGGGTATTCTGGTTTCTTCCGTCGTTGGTGGTTTGACATCTATAGGAAGATCTGTGTGTGCTGCTTCGATGTCCGGTGGATTCATTGGAGCTAGCATATTCAGGAGTTTCTCGAAGTTCTCTACTCATCTGTTCCGCTGTTGTTGAATTTCAGTGATTGGCCTGCCTTCTTTGTCCTTGACCGTAATTCAATATTAGCATTATAAAATGTTATAAAATAGGATCAAGGTCTAGTTATTGAAAGACTGTTACGTAATCTTCATGATCATAATAAACGTACTATTCTGTTTCACAATCAACTCGATTCCAAATTGATCGCATTTATATATCATGCATTATCTTTTAGCATTCCTGATGCTTAGTAAGATACAATATAATGAGAGGAAGCATTTGTATATGTTGTCAGTTCTTATTATTTATGGAGAATTACTTCATCTTTGTAAAATAAATTTACTTACTTATAATTACAAAGTCAATGCTTATTAAAAATAACTAATTGTCTAATTATTCGATTTGTTATTTGTTATAGATTCAACAAACAAAAGACAATGAAATAATTTAGAAAAATGATCATCAACTCACTATGAACTTCTACAGTAATTGTTATCGATAAATTACGTTTCATTGGATCATGATTTATTTGAGTTGCAGCGTTTGATACACTGCATACAATTTCATCACCATCTTCTAAACCAGCTTTAAGGATACTTAGACTAGATTGTTCATCATTCTCTTGATTATTGATAATAGGATGTAATTTACCCCAAATTTTGAGCAAATTATCTGGAAGAAACGAAGAAGTAAACTCATATAATAAATACTCTGAATCTCATTAAAAGTAAGTAAAAATAAATACAACTTGTGATCATTAGTTTTTCACATTGTAAACATGTTGGTTAAGTGGTTATAAGAAATCTGTGCCTTATTTGGCATTTTATATAGAGATTTTGTGATAAGGATTTTTGAATATACTTTTCTTAATGAAGTCACATTTGCTATTTAAAATTGCATTTCAGTATGCATTGACTTACATTTATAAAACCATCGATAAATTAACAGTCGATTGTATAACACTGAGCTGAAACCTCAAAGTTCATTCTTGCATTAACTAATCTAATAATCGAATATATTTTCAACATTGCAAATATGAAATTATAGCCTCATAGTATTTATTGTAACTGATCACTGATATTCATAAAATGTTCAAGTACTTTAACTACAAAAATGAAGTGTCATTTGATTATAGAGTTGTTTATTTTCAAGTGATTAAATAATTTATTACTGATAGATAGTAATGTATTTAGCTTGCTTCTTGCATTGTAGTTTACATAAATATACTGCATACATTTCATATACATATAAATTAACATATATTTTTTCTCCATTAGAAGAGAGCTCTGTTTGTTGCATAATCACTTAAGGAAAAGCTGGTTCAAAATAAATCTTTGAATCAGTCTATATGCACATGAAGCATTTCAATCGCTATTTAGCATATATCTGTCAAAGTCTGCATTTGTTATTGTTTTCATAAGGGTATATCATTTATAGCTTCATTACTAGATGTATCAGATGGTCATCGAAAAGGTAACCTAACTTCATTTAAAAGAATTACCAAGTAAATTACAATTTTAAATGATGTACTTTGCCTTAAATCTGGCCAATTTTATGGATTATTAATTTGGATTTATAACTGTAGAACCTGATGAGAAATTATCGAAAAGAAAATTCTTCGTTCATACAATTGTGTTTTAATATAATGGGAATTTTTCAGTGATTAAATTAGATGGTCTGCATTATACTATCAGTCAAGTATATAAACAAATAGCAATACGTATTTTAGGTGTCTGTTTCCGCTGAACCTATATTTGCTTCAAGATTACTCTGTTTATTTTATTAAACGAGAGTAGCAAGTCCAATGAAAAAGTAATCACTTAAAGTAAATGACTTACTCATTTTGGCTACATCATTAGGACTCATCGGTGTTTTAGTTTTTACCTCCAGATTTGGTATTTCATGACGGTTAAGTAACCATTTGAAATTTGGAGCTGGTCGGCCACCAACTGCAGAACAAACCAAACTAATACGCAAAATAGGATCTGGTTGAGATATGATCAATTTCCTGTCGGGTAACTGTACATTTTGATATAAAATCTGTGGTTCATTCGGCTTAACTGAATGTAAACACGTAAAGAAAGCAAACAAAAACTTAATATCGTCTTGCATTATTTTTTATATTAGTTTTGGGATTTGTAACTATAGTATTTACTAGTCATGAGAAAGTGACTCATAACAACAAGTGTTAAAAAAATGTAAAACTTCATAGTGACAAAAATTACCATACACTGTGGTGATAGCTTGTGGAAATGACTTTTTTTCCAGAAATGATAACAAATGAACAGGAACTGAAAATCAGGGAGTAATTCACGGAAATTGGAAATATATAGTTTCGCTCAAACTAAGAAGTCTAAAGTTGTCAGACTCACTGAGAAGTTCAATAATTCTATAAATTATTCAGGTGTGGGGCAATTATCCATCAAAGACAATGGAAAATGCTCACACAACATCATGTATTGTTTGGAACTAGACATTATCAGTGATCTAGAATTTTAAAGTTCGAAGGTCCTAGGTACGAGTCCTGTGGACGAGATATTAGGTGGGGAATGCTGAGGAGTCTAGTAATAAGACAGGACGGAAGAAAATGTAGTTCGGTGTATGATGATTTTAAGTGTTATACTAGTTGATGTCATTATGAAGAATAGCTTGCAACCAAATTCGACCGGGAAACGTGTAAGTCGCTAAACTAAATTACGAATCTTATGAAATGTACGGTTTGATAGTAGCCTATTTTTAGCGCGACTAAGACTTTTGATGCAAAATCGATTGTGAGAGAAAATATTCCCATCATTACTTCACTTCTGTTTTGTAGATTTTAGTCAGTTAAATGGCTGTTTCCTCAACTTAATAAACTAGACTAATTAAGTTAAAGTAACTTATATATTGGTAGGTAGAAAACCCAACTAGTGTTTGGGTACACTAAAAATTCAGATTAGCATAATAACTTGGAGTAAAATCAAACTATTATAGGTATATCTCAGCCATCGTTTGATTTTCTTGAACTTTTAAATGGATGAAGAAAGTTATGAAATCGATTCTTATGTCAGACCAGAGTTTCGTTGAAGGCATGTTGATGAAGTATGCATATACAGAAATTAAATAATCCTGAGTATATTGATAAATTCCTCTTCAACGAAATGATAAAATTTAGCTTCTGGTTCTTCGTATTATGTTACATTTTCTTTAATACTATTCACAATATTTCGTTACATTTTAACCATCCTTATAAAAATGCCAAACTGGTTTGAACTAAATTGAAAATGTATTTAATAACATTTTCAACATTAGGATGGAGACAGGAAAATAACATATTGATTTCTATGATCATGATTTAAAGAAAAAATTTTGTAACCAGAACTATTCTCGTGATGATCTATGATTATTAAACCAAGATTTTGTAAGGTCCTAAATTACGATTATATTGGAAATTATGCAACTTAAACAGTTTTTAAAACAGCGGTACTGAAAAACTGAACTTTGAGTTTTGTTGAAGACATCGGAAACCTGTACACCTTGTTGTATTGATAAATAAACCTTCGCTTATCATTTAAAGTGAACAATTCTAATAACATTGTAAATAGTTAAATAATTATTATTATCTACTGTTTGAATGATATTGTTACAAAGGTTTAATACTCATAGTACATTAATAATGATACATTTTAATACATAATACATGGATAAGTGGTTAACAAATATGAAATTGGATGTTTTTTCCCTATCATAATACATATTATCATTGTTGTTTACTTTTAGATAGTTGTTGAATTAATCAACTTAATGGATGATAAACAAAGAGAACCACCAACGACGCAGCTGAACAAATTAAAAATGATGTGCACAACAAATATAAAATAAGTCAGCAACTGTGTGATAAAAGATTATAATAAAAACTGTTGCAATGAGAAACATTTCAATTAAATCTTACTAAGAACTTCTAGATACGTTTTTCTTCTTAATAATGGATGATTATTAACTGGGACTGGAGTGACTTGACATTCATATTCTCCAGCATCATCACGTTGAACATCTGTAATTTGTAATGTATGCTCTCCTCGTCCAACATCACCAATTATTCTAAATCTAGAGTAACCCGGTATAGAACGATCATAACCTAGGAAATTATGAATTATAAAATTAATAACTTCATACTTTAAGCAAAATTTAAAAGAAAACAAACGTAACATTAATGGAAAAAGTTCAGTGTTCTCATTAAATATACTTGTGTTAATGAACATTAAACTTTCATTATTAATAACTGCCTAATGTATCAAACAACAATGTTGTACATAGTTGCTGAAAGATGACAAATTTTAAATTGATAAGACGAATTCAACGAGATATATAAACATTTCAACTAATAAATATTTCATTGCAATCTGTTTTTAATGATGTACTTTAGGACATACGCTTCTAAGTGAAACCTCTGAAGTTTATACTCAAGTATTGATACCTGTAAAATTGATCTACTAGCTGCGATGGATGCCATGTAAACTAGTGATGTGGTGGAGAACGATGAAGCAATAATATTGTTTTCTTGTCATAGGATTTTCTGCCTGTGTTTTACCATACTGTAACTAGTTGATGACTGTATTTTGACATTTCATGGTGCATATTAAACAATAACTTAAGAGTAGTTTTCGCTTCAGTGAACTTTACGTTATACTTCAGGAACACGTTGAGCACGTTCAACGCAATAGGTTGTTCACAACATTTTAATCGTTTAAAGATCCCTATCATATTAAAAGACTAGTATTTGAACGAAGAATATTTTTTTCCATAAATTATCTTTAGGTTCTACAATTATGTATCCAAATTAATAACCCGAAAAGTGGTCAGGTTAAGGGCAAAGTACATCGTTTAAAGCATGTGAATTTAGGATTGATAAACAATTGACAATAAAATTCTTAATGTTGATATGACTCATATAGAATGTTAACTTGAATCTGCTTATATGTTAAGTGAAGTTTAAGATCCATGATCAAAATTAATAAGGGTGAGATGAGGTGAGAGAAATAATAGTGCAATTACAATTCGGTCAAACGTTTAGTGAAAGGATATATTGTGTGAAAAATTAGTAACAACCCTAAATTCACATGCCTTAAACGATGTACTTTGCCCTTAACCTGGCCATTTTTCGGATTATTAATTTGGATATATAATTGTAGAACTTGAAGAGAATTTGTCAAAAACAATATTCTTCGTTCAAATACTAGTCTTCTAATAGGCTTAAGAGTTGAAGTTGGTGTTTGACAAGTTGTATAACATAAATGAATCGGTTATGTCATTTCATCTTAACACATGTAACAATATGTGAAAAGACTGATTATTAAATCCTTATCCATTATCTCACGATCAATAACCTTACATTTTAAGTATCTATAGTGTAAACATCAACATACTATTACCTCTCAGGGCAATTTATTTTCATTTATTCTGAAATATTTTGTATAGAATAGAGTAAAAAACGAACATTAGTCACTGGTAAGTTTTCTTTAAATTATAGGCTTTATATATACATATGCGGATTGGCTGAAACTAATCAATTTCATGTAATCCATTAGAGATAATATAACAATAGAATCAAAACTTATATTGAATTACCCAAATTACATATATATTCAATCATGATGTATTTCTTTATCTTTTGGGAAACAAAACATCTATTTCACGTTTGACTGATATTCCGTTATTCCCCTGATAATACTATGCTTAAATGGTCGAATAATAACATGCTATTATTTTAGTTTTAAGTTAGATATAAAATTGTAGATTGATCTAATTTAACTAAAAGATCAGTTAAGTGATTTGTGTTTATTAATGAAATACTTCGAGAATTCCATAAATCAGTCATATTCACATGATGAACAGAAAGTTTACGAATCACTTCTTTATCATTCGACGTGTTAGCTTATTGGATATTTTTACCTCTTAGAATCTGTCAGTGATGATGCATACTTTAACATGAAACATTGCGCATTTATACATTATTTCAGTGCGGATAATAACACATTAATAATATTATCCTTAATCACACGTATTATTCCAACTATTAAAAGTGAAAACATCTTCTTTAAAACTGGTCTTCTCTCACAGATAGTGTGATAACCTGTTCTTTTCTAAACTGAATGTAACATTTATTGTTTACTTGAATCTTTCCATTAATGTTTAGGACTGCAATCGATCATTCTCTTATTGGCATATATGCGTATTGTGAGTATTGCCTCGATATTGCCCTAATTCATAAGCACTACAAGAAAAGATGAATAATGGCTAGCAATCGAATTCAGTACACACGTTTCGTCTTGTTTGTGACTCGTCAGCTAGACGTACCTGCATCCTACAGTTGATGTTCTCTCCAAGGCTCGAACTCAGTACCATTCGCTTTAAACTCCATCATGTTATCTATTTAGCTACTGAGCGCTGGAGTAAAAATCAACCCTGAGATGCAGGTATATTCAGCCGACCAACCCCGAGTAGGACTTAATCCGCGTCCCGCATTCCACTGCCAGCCACTATCTATCTTTGAATATAGTATTTATTACGGCTAAAAATCAGCTACAAAAACATTGAAAACTATTGAATGTTGGAATATGTTTTCATCTTAGTCTCTTGTTTATCACAGTTTTCCAGTGAATAACACATAAAAGATTAAATCTAAGATTTTTTTTGAGTAATTTTCATTGGATCAAGTTTTCAAATATAAACAAAAAATAATAAGGGTATTAATATTCATAACAAAACATGATAGGAAACACTACACAAATAAACAATGTTCGTCTCATTAAGCATAACGTGACCAAAAGGATGAAAAACCAACTGGTTAATACTTCATAACACTCAGATATAATTTAGAAATTATCTTAACTATTAATCTAATGATTTTTAATACCTTATTCCTTTTAAAAGCTGTTCATAAATTTTCACTCTTAACTACCTACTACGAGTTCTATACTGGTTGAGTTGGGAATATATGCAGTTTATTTATAATAGATTTTTGTAGCTCTTCTTTCTTATTAGTCAATTGAAATATATATATTTAAATAACAGTATACTGTTATAAACAATAAAGATCGTTTGATTTAAATTTAATCATTTTATTTAAGAATTGCATGAATTTGTTGTTTTAATTGAAATTTCTCAAGTGTATCGATTAGTCCAGTTAAGTTTACAAATAAAATTGTGACTTGGATAATTTACCTCAGGTTACATGTACTTCAAAAGTTACTCTTAGTTACAGCTTAACTTTATCTTTCCAGTTTTGAAGATCTCACCAATCTTTAATATAGTGTCGTTTAAGATCGAACAACATCTTGTTCATAAGATTTCACTATTATTGTCTATCATAATCGTCTATACATTTACTTACTTCACTTTAACTGGTTTTTCGAACCCTTTTCTTCAAAATGATTATCATAATTTTGTTAGAAACAGATCTATATCTTACTCATTGAAAAAGATTTCATTTCTATTGTGAATATAGATCTAACTATATTGATATTTATTCAGTTAATTTACTTGATCATTCAAGTGAAAATAGAAAAGTACAACTAATATTGTTAAATTACTATTGTGGTGTGTGCTTCTTATATTGACATAAGTAGTAGATGATGTTAGTCGTGAACAGCAGGTCTGGAAACAGAGAGACAAGAGGACCGAACAGTAAAGAATGGGAACAGGATGCAATTTGTATGAAATGCGAGAGCAATGAAGTTTGAGTCATTTTGAGATAATTGATGAACATTTTGCAAATTAAGCATTTACTTTATGATTGTTAGATTTTATTAACAAGTCCTGTAATTTTGTCCCCACTAGTGTTCCTGTTCGCTACACTATATGATGTCTACATATATTGTGGTTCATCTTCTCTTTTAAATCACCCTGAATAAAAAGTTCGTAATATTTATTACAATTTAGTCTGTCAACAGTTTATGGCTTCTTAAATGTAGACAATCCAGCTTATTCAGCTGAAGTATGATCTTTATAATTCATTATTTAAAATAAAGTATAAATAGATTGTTAATCATAGTGATTTTATACATTCATCGTTATTGTGTATAAATATTATTTGACATATATTACTAGTTTATCTAAGTCGAATACATGAGTTGTTTTTGTTTAGTTCTTGACATGATTTACCCATCTTTAAATAAGAACTTTCGTCTAAATTCGAACGAAACGTTGGATTTCAAATTCTTTCGCTGAGATTTTACAAATACATTCTTCCTCTTTAATACCCATCTTTAGTTATAATAAAATCTTTAAAATTAGTCGGAACAATTTCAAAGACTTAATAATGATACTGAATGAGAAAATAGGATGACATATAACTGAGTAGCATTTAACTATTTTAATGAAATACCTAATTAATATTATCAGTTAATGAATAATAAATAAAGTTTACTGAACAAGTAGGAAAGAAATCAATGTATGTTGATATGTCAATGTTGGGAACTAGTGATATTTAATTACTCAATACATTACTAGTAATTAATTACAAGAAAAAATTTTTCTCCCTACTCACAAATTACAATATTTAATTTACGCGACTATCGTAACCAGTGATTTAAGACTCTGGGTGACATGGATCAAAATCGATCACAATGACATAAGCGCATGAACTCTTTTTTTTCCCTAAACCGTGAGATTAAAATTACTTTATACCTTTTTTTTACAAACTACTTCTTTTCTCCTGCATTATATGCTTGTAGGCAATCTTATTTTCTAATTTATTACTACTATTGAAGTATTTGGTATGCTCATCTTTTGTGTTAGTGTGGTATTGCAACTTGAACTGATTCTTATATGTAACTGATCCTACATTATAGATAATTGACTGACTCAATCGATTTTATATTTAGATAAACTGTAATTAAAAACATCAAAAGACAGTTTGCTTTGCAATCATATTTTGTATTTCACTACGCTAATGAGAATCGCTAACAATTTGATTAAGATAAACACAATATAACAGATATTTAAATTACTTTATCATTAACTAGTTTCAGTGATGTTTTAAACGAGGAAATAATCTTGAGAGATAAATTCAAGAGTTTCATCAACAGACATGATCAATAGTGTTCAACCTTGTCAAGTGTGATTGAAATGAAGCAG